GGTTATTATTTACATGACTACATGCTATACAGTTGCTTTGACAGATTAATCAGGACACTAACTTACTCATTAGCCAATATTTAACATGCTTTTTCTTTAATAAGCTGTCACATCATGTCTCAGGAACAGCTCACGTTAATACTCAGTCAGTAAAAGCTGGTCTTGATATCCTGCAATAATAAAATCCCAAAGAGGAGGGATAGGCATGTTCCAAATGTCCAGTCTATGCCATAACTTTGTTTTAGTGGCTGTAAGTGCAGAAAACCCTGCTTTGAAATAAATCGCTTGGAAATTATTTGGATTTTCGCTCTTAGAGTGCAAAGTAATACGATGTGCAAAATAGTACAATAATACAGTGTTCCAGAAATTCATTGTGGCCTGGTGATTAGGAGCCAATTTTGCATGAGTGTGATAGATGGGTAAATGAAAACCTAATTGTCGTTCTGGAAAGAGTATGCAAAGAAGCTACAAAGAGGCAGGAGAGAGCAGCAGCGCATTTGCATTTTAAGACAAATACATAATAAAAAAGTATGGACATCCTAGCATAATGTAATAAACGATCTGTTGAGCTTTGATTGGCCACAATCTTTCTGAGTGAGATTACATCAATAATTATTTCATCCCTTATTTTTATGTTTATCTATGTTTGTATTATACAGTATTTACTTTATTTTAAAAATAAGACCAAAAGGCATCAGGTCTGTTAACCCCTTTACTTCCCCATCAAGAACAAAAAATTGGATTGTATTTCTTAACTCCTAATGTTGCTAGTTGACACACTCAATGCATCAATGCAAAACACATCCCATCATTTCTAAAATATCAACCTCTACCAAAAGGTTTAAGGTAAAAGTACCAGAATTAATACATATACTACAAAAAAATCTGAAAAATATCAAGTGTAAGACCAATTTATTTAAAGACATAATCAAAATAAAACATTTTTGAATACGAACTCATCTTGATTTTTTGAAGTATGCCCTAAAATAATTCAGATCCTCATTTAACATTTTTTCTTATTTATTTATTTGTTTACAATAAAACCAAAATCAAGTGTAGTAGTGCAGCAGGATCAGGTTTGTTTGATTTTTTTGTAAACCAACAATGCTGTGTTGTGTCAATCTTAATACGATTTTTACAGTCATTATTTAAAACAGTTAAAATATGGTCAACCATTTAATAAAGCAGGCAGTCAAAGGGTTAAACGTTAGGTTTGTTTTGTTATTTTAACATGTATATGGTGAAACTGACAACATGTGTTTGTAATAATACAGAGCTCATTAATATTCATGTTACAAATATGATCAAAATCCAACTTTTTCGATCTAGAGGTAATTTCTGTGGATATAAATGCGCATATGAAATCATTTCTGGAGAATTTTTGCACTTACCTAAGCCACAAACCTACTATGTAGATATCAGAGAACAATTTTATTTATTGAATAAATGCACTCTATGACACCTAAAGTGATGTTCATTATCTAGTCATCAGCCAACATTAGCATGTCAGAAATGTTGACATTTGCCGCAGCAGTGTGAATCTGCCTTAATAAGGTAGATCTTTATGCTACAACAGCGACAGGTGACGCAGTGACCCATGGGCTGGACAGATGGTCTCCCACACAGTGACCACACACCACAGTCTCTGGCCAAAACACACACTCCCCACTGCGAGGAGACCCAGGGGCCACAATAGTCATCATTGAAGGTTAAGCACCAGCAGCCACAGTAATGTCACAATTAAGGAAAGGTCAAGAGGTCAGCCACAACATCCAAATGATGTCTGTCCGCTCTGACCCCTCTCTATACTCTTTTCATTCACCCCAACATTATTTTCTCCTGAGCTGACTAGCCGTGCAGTGTAGAGTTTTTTTTCCCAACCCTTTCATTTCTTTCATTACCGCTCCTGTCCTGCTCTGTTTGCTTTTCCCGTGCTTTTAGCTGACTTCCCCTGACCTCATTCGCACCTGGATTATAGACGAGGGGAGAGAAATATTAAGTGAATGAAAGTATGGGAGCATTTGCATGAAATGAAGCACAGCGGTTGAAAAATGGTGCAAAACGGGTGTGCTGAATATTAAATACCACCAAGAGCATTATGGGTTGCGGTGCGAGCTTCGCAACTGCTGAAGGGTGAGGAAAAGTTGTTCTCATGCATAAAGACAAGAAATAGTTTTTATGACAGAAGAAGAATGTTTACATCATGTTCCCTTTAACACATGACCCGCAAAAATCAGTGATGGGCTGTATCATGCAAAATCTGGCATAGTGAAATAAATGAGGAACTGCTTTATATGCATAGAAAACAACAGGAAGCAAAACAACCAATTAATCACTTTAACACTGTGTCCTAACCAGGATGAGAAAATGAAGAACAAAAACCTTTCCTCATTGAATGAACCAGTGGGGCTTCCCAGTGCTGATATAATCTCTATATCTACCCATCAACAGCTCTGATTTCTTTCATCTATCAGCTAATCTGCCTACCCATACCCATCTGTCCATCCACCTGTATACTCAATTATCTAACCAACCATTCATCCATCTACCCGTCTATCTACCCATTTCTTTTTATATTTATACAACAGTTCTGTCTGGTTCTCAAATCTGATTAGCTGATAGCTGTGAGATAAATCTAATTTATAAGTAATATAGAGTAATATCAGCACTCTTATTGCCTCTTCACCCTTGAGTATTACTCTGCCCACACAAGTGGAAAGGAGAGAACAGCAGTTTGACAAATTTTGCAGCTGTTGGACAACATAATGTACTTTTTTTAGGCAATAATGTAGTTGTTTAGATTGCAACTATGCCATTTTTTATAATAATACACTGAAAGAAAAGGGTTTTTTTTTTTTTAAAAAAAGGATGATTCCTTGGATTTACTTTTTTTTTTTTTTTTTTAAGTTAAATGGTTGTAAACAATTTATATGGGATAAATTTAAACACAAAAACTAACCTGAACATTGCTAACTTTGTTTAAATTCAACACATAAATTGTTTGCAACATTTTGTAGACATTATTTTTTTAGTGTAGTGCCTATTTTAAACATTCATAATTCTGGAGATTTAGCGCATTGACGGCCAGCTGAGCAGAATAAAAAATGGTTGACTTTTCGCCACAAGATGGCGACAGAAACCGCATAAAAATTCCTTAGGGGCATTTTTTCAGCTTACGTTTCAAACTACACCTGAACAAATCATTACAAAACGGGTAAGTGATATTCTAAGTCGATCTCTCTCTTTTGTATATTGAAGTGCTGTATTTATACTATAGTAATCTGGTAGTGTTTGCTGTGCTCTGGCTTTTTCAGAGTTAATTGTTGCGATCTCCCAATTGCAACAGAGAAACACTTGGAAATATCTGTATTTCATGCTGTTCAGCCTTTTAATCCTAAAATGGGAGTAAAAATCACCTGTTTTGTCATCACTTTAAAACTTTAGATTCAAATACTAGCTCGAAAGTGTCGTTTGTGATGTAGCTACAGTTTCTGATTCTTTTTTTATATATATACACACACACGATTATGCCATCAAACTATTATATAAAAGCAATATCACACTCGTAATAGTGCAATATGTGTGTATCCCGTCCTGGTGGGCTTACACGGTAATGCACGCCTCCGATAAACAGCCATATCGCACTGATACAAGTGTGATATTGCTCATATCCTGATTTTTCAACTGGGTATACCTGTCCTATCAGTCTGCCTATCTTTGTCTAACCATCTATCTACCCAGCATGTCTTTACATCCATCCACCATTAGAACTTATCCACTTACCTACCAATTTTGATTAGATTTCTTGACATCATGAAATGTCAAGAAAAGGCTAGAGAGGTAGTAAGTGGGAATTGTAGAATCCGCAGATGCAGAACCACTATGGGTCAGTCATGCATTTCAATAAAAGGTTCACATCTATGGAACGCCATGCCTGTTAAAGTTACAATCAAAACTCCAAGTTTTTTTCTAGATAAAATCTTTACAGCAATGTGAACATTAGGTATTATTCATTCAGGTTGGTCAGGTTTACATTTTATGTTTGTGGCTCTGTATAAACTGTACAAATATAACCCACTGTTCCTACTGCACCCAACCCGATCTGAGTTTCAATCGAACCGGTGATTCTTAGTATGGGAGTCAGTTGCTCTAACAAGGAGGCTAACGAGCATGGCCTCTAGCATCTGTCGCTAGAGCACCTTTAGAGGTCAGGAGAGTTTTTACCTGCAAAGCACTTCACTAGCTGTCAAAGAACAGTTCTACTTATTGAATGTGGGGGCTCGTCTAGGATGGGTGTTAAGTTTAGGGGGGTGAGTATAACGGGGATAGCTAGCGAAGTGCTATGCAGGTACTGTAAACCTCACTCCTCTGACCTCTAAAGGAGCTCTAGCAACAGATGCTAGAGGCTATGGTCTTCAGCCCCCTTGTTAGAGCAACCGACTCGCGTTCAAAAATCGCTGGTTCGATCCCAGCTCATACCGGGTTGGGTGCAATAGGACCGCTGGTTGTATTGTGTTTTTTTTTTTCTTTTTCTTTTTTATGTTAAGCCTAGTCAGGGGCTTTATGCTATATGTCCTACGTACACGACAGATCAGTTATCTTTGTAAAACTATGCCAAGTGTATTGTCCCTGTCAAATAAACAAGCAAACAAATAAATAAAATTATATAGTACAATATATCTATCAAGCCTAGTTTACCTGTCTATCTACCTCATCCATCTCCTATTAAAATGTTCACATATATCTTTAAATACCTGTATAGCTGCATTCTGTCCGATATCTACCTGTTCATCCATCTACTATTTCTTCCAAAAAAACCATATCTACTCTTCTGTCCATTGTTACATTAACCTGTCCGTCTGTTTATTTATACATCTACCCATCTATGTATATATTGTGTTTAAAAATAATAAACATATGACAATAAAGCTTGACTTAACTTGATAGCATTATAATAGATGTTTGACAGCTCTAATAAAACACAGTTTGACAGCCCTTACCAGTATTGAGTTTGGTGCCTTTAGTACATGCCACAACGGCACCCATGCTGGGTTGGGATGTCATTCCCGCCATGGAGTCCACCGCCACATCCACAATGTCTGCTCCGGCCTCTGCACAGGCCAGCATGGCAGCCACTCCAGCCCCTGCAGTATCGTGAGTGTGCACATGGATCGGCACATGAGGAAAACGGTCCCTCAGTGCACCGACCAGCAAACGGCCAGAGTCGGGTTTCAGGAGACCGGCCATGTCCTGCAGAGCAGACAGAGAGAGAGAGAGAGAGAGAGAGAGAGATGGGGGGAATAAAGGAAAGTTAGAGATATGGACTAGAAACAAACAGTGAGACAGTGATGCAGTGGTATTTAATGTGTGGGTGGAAGCAGAGCGGGTGCAGCAGTCGAGATGAAAGAGTGAGCAAGAGTTGAGGTTAACAAAACAGACAAATGGATTTCAAAAAAAAAATAATCCCACACAAAAATAAACAAACCACCACCTTGATGCAAAGGATGTGTGTTCCAGCCTTGACCAGCTCATCTGCTAGTTTGAGATAGTAGTCTAGAGAATATTTCTGCCTCGTGGGGTCGGAAACGTCGCCGGTGTACGAGATGGCCGCCTCCACCACTCCCCCTGCTGTACCTGCTGCCTCCATCCCCAAGAGCATGTTGGGGAGATAGTTCAGCGAGTCGAACACACGGAAGATGTCCATACCGTTTTCTTTGGCCACCTCACAGAACCTGACAAAAGCATTGAAAATAGTGTGGTAATGAGTAACCATAGATTGGTTCTTTGTGTATTTTTATCCTTTAGCAAGGGTGTGTTCAAATTTATAGTTCAGTTTTCTTTGTTCAGTGCAAAAAATATTAAAATAGATTTAGCCCTAGCTCGTTTAGCATTCCCAGTCATATTTTAAAGTTCTGACATATCCTTTCATATATTTTTATGCGTGTACATGCATTTTACCCACACTAACAGAGTAATCAAACCAGTGTTTTAACTGAAGCAAACTATTCAAACTCATTATTGGGCAAATATTACTAAAGCAATCAAATTAAATAATTATTAAATGTAAACATAACAATTTTAAACAGTAACTAACTGAAAAATTCAAAGTACTTGTGATTAATAAACCGGACACAAAAATAACAGGATTAATAATAAAATTTACATTGAAACAAAAATGCAATAAAAGTAAATTAAATTATTATTAAACACAATAGTATTTTTCAAATAAATTTGTTAGATTTAGAAACCCGTACATGTGTGCCATTTTTGCTATACTATTTTATTTATTTAAGCAAGAATTGGACCCAATTAAAATGTCTTCTGCTAATTTTTCCTTCGGTTTATATGAGATCTTTTTATCTAGCAGATCTTCATTGTGTATTTTGGGACTGAAAATGCAGAATGGCAAATGGCAGCAGCGATTTTATGGACTGTCTGAAACAAAGCCGTTAAATGAGCAGAAATGCTCCCCAGCTCCACATTCTAATATAAATTAAAAGCCATCTTAATGGTGCTTGGGGCCAGAGTCGGTGGCTGTGAGAAACAAATGGAGTAGACTAAAGCTACCAAAGACAAAGCACTGGAACGGAATGATTTTTTGGTTTATTTATTAATATCTTAATAGTCTTCTGCTGATCTAGGTGGAAAAATGTCTTTGGCAATGTTTCTTGTGTCACTATTCAATATCAGCATTGTGATATTGCTCAATATTCACAATGCAATGACAAAACAATTTACTACTGAAAGCAACTCAAAGTTAAATGATTCACAAGCAAAACACTCCTACGAATCTTTGTTCTTACAAAAAAAAAATTGTATTATCAGATTATGCTACCAACACTATATTTGTATTGTTGGAGTGCAAGCTAGTCTTGAAGGTTGATAAACCCTTAAACCACATACATATTGTGCTGGAAGCACATTCTGCACATTTCGTTTATTGTTGAAATATTTGCTACCTCTGGTTTTAACAACAGGTAATAAAATCTGAACCTGCAGCACAGATTGACAGAAAACTGATTATTTTAAACGGGTACAAACAATTACAGGCACCACGGTGGCTCAGTGGTTAGCACTGTTGCCTCACAGCAAGAAGGTCGCTGTCGCTAGAAGACATGTACTATAGGTGAATTGAATAAACTAAACTGGCTGTAGTGCGTGTTTCCCAGTACTGTACTGCAGCTGGAAGAGCATCCGCTGTGTAAGTTGGCAGTTCATTCTGCTGTGTTGACCCCTGATTAATAAAGGGACTAAGTCGAAGGAAAAATGTAATAAACAATTAAAATGTATTTTATAATGTTTCCAAAATCATTGCTGTATTGAGAATCTGAATCCAAACATTAGTTTTCCTGGGAATGCCATTCCTAAAAAGAGTATCATTTGAGAAGTTGACTCAGTCTGTGAGCAAGTTGTGAAGTAAGATGGGGCATGACTGACTTGAAGACGGCATTATCCGGGTAGTTGGTGTATCCAACAGCGTTGGCACCTCTCAGAAGCATCTGAAAAGGCACATTTGGCATCAGAGCCCTCAACTCTTGCAGCCTTTTCCAGGGACACTCACACAGGAAACGCATTGCCACATCAAACGTAGCGCCTGGTGGAGAAGAAAGAAAGGCAGGACAAAAAATAAGTAAGAGGATCAAAATACCCAGCATAAGTGGCACAGACGTGGAAAACTCTTAAAAGCATGTGATGCACCTTGCTATTGGAAACATGCTCGCATACTTTGATTCCAGAAATTAAGTTAAACACTCATCTTGCTTCAACCTTGCTTTCAGCCTTAATTCTAAGCAAATATTTTAGGCTTAGGAAACAAGAACTTGATTCTTAATTACAAATAAATAACTGAATACCCGTACTGTTAATTGAATAAACTGTATGACTGTTATGGGCTCCTTTTAAGAAAGAATTAAACCAATGTATTTATTGGCTGACAGTGTTTTATTATATACAGTTGAAGTCAGAATTATTATCGCCCGTTTATTTTTTCCCCCAATTTCTGTTTAATGGAGAGAAGATGTTCACAACACATTTCTAAACATAACAGTTTTAATAACTCATTTCTAATAACTGCTTTATTTTAACTTTACCAGTAAATAATATTAAACTAGATATTTTTCAAGACACTTCTATACAGCTTAAAGTGACATTTAAAGGCTTAACTAGGCAGATTTAGGTAATTAGGCGAGTTACTGTACAACGATGGTTTGTTCTGTAGACCAGTGGTTCTCAAACTTTTCATCAAGTACCACCTCAGACAAAAATTGTCTCTCCAAGTTCCACCATAATGACCAGTGTTGAAATACAGTAGCATAGTAGGCCTAATTAAGCAGCTGCAGCTCTGCAAAGCTGCTTACTGATTAATTACTAATAAGAATATGTATAATTGTCAGCCTACATTATAAATAGTTTGAACATTATCTTTACTTGCAGAAAAAAACAAAGCAAAAACGTCATTGTTTAAATTAGAATGTGCTTTTAAGATTTAACTAAAAATGGCACTGTTCTTAAGACGTAAAAAGAAAACTGCTGTACTTATAAAGTATTAATGTATAGAAGCCTATTCATCAAAAACCTAATCGTACTCTTCAGGGAGCAGCCAATGCTGTCTGATTACATGATTCTTGGTGTTATCTTACGCGTCAAAGGGTCAAAAGTGTGTTAAATTTTTTCTTTTATTATTCAGCGATTTTTCTGCATACCACTAGAAGCAAGCCTGCATACCAGTTGTGGTTTAAAACCACTGCTGTAGACTATCGAAAAAATATATAGCTTGAATTGGCTAATAATTTTGACCTTGAAATAAAAATAAATAAATAAAAACTGCTTTTATTCTAGCCAAAATAAGACAAATCAGACTTTCTCCAGAATAAAAAAACTTATCAGAGATACTGTGAAAATGTCCTTGCTCTGTTAATCATCATTTGGGAAATATAATTAAAAAAAAAAATTAGCTTCAGTTAGCTGCTAAAAGAACAGTTAGAATATTTGTTTATTTATTTTTTAAATTTACCTTTTAATTCAATAAAACATAAAAAAAAGAATGTGCATCTATTTTTACACTGCTGACAGGTTGTTCTGCTGTCATGACATTGTGTTTTGCCAGCAGTTGTTGCAGTTTTGCATATTAAAGACCAATTATGTCATTTATGCCACCTGTGAAAGACACTTTCAGTCATTAAAAAATCTTTGTACCTTTTTCACTCTCAAATAACACTTGACAAGTCATGCAGAGAAAGCGAAGATATACAGTATATCAATTTTTTATAGACTAACAAACTAGTAGGATGTGGGAAATGTGCTACTCAAATACTCGCATCTCTCTCTTTCAATCAAAATGAGACTTTAAAACTGTCGTCAATTTAGAAAAGGAGTACTAATAAAGAAACATGAATCATTCAAAAACTAAAACTCAGCTCTTTCCTGCTCAAGTACTGATTAATTAAAAAAAACATTAAACATTGTTAAAGGATCCAGCATATTTAAAGACAAATACAAAAACCAAACACTAGCTTGATGGGAAGCATCTCACTGTTGTTCAGCTAAAAGGAGAGGAATACCAAGCTGGAGAATAGTAGGCTGGGTTTACTGCTTAAACACAAGCGGGAGGGTAAAAAATAGGGGAGGGGGAAAAGAGTGTAAGACAAAGCACGAAAACAGTAGTGTGAAAGTAGTAGCGCACCGCCCCAGTTCTCCACGCTGAAGAGGTTGTTGAAGCTGTGTGCCACAAACGGTGCGATGCGTTTCAGGTCGTGAGTGCGAACGCGAGTGGCCAGGAGGGACTGGTGGGCGTCTCTGAACGTAGTGTCCATAAGCAGCAGACCCTGGTGGGCACGAACCGCCTTCGCAAAACCATCTGGACCCTCTCTCAACAACACATCCCTGAAACCCACTGGTGGCTCACCTGCAGAGTGCATACACACAAAACACACGGCCAATTAATAACACAGACATTATCACAAACACCAAGCTGCGTAGGACTACAAAGATGAAAAAAAAAGTAAGCCATTTTATCAGCAATATTATTCACAGAGACACAAGCGCACAACAATATGCATCGAAATAGATGTGTTACCCAGAAAGAATGAAGTCGGTATTTTCAAGAAATCAATTGATTTTAGCTGTTGGCACATGTCCAGACAAATCCACATAAGATGGAGGTAGAAACTGAATGAAAGCTTGGCTCTTTTGTAAACAAATGCCTCTGCATTATGTTCTGCCTGCTGTATAGGATGTATAATATAGTCATGTGGAACTTCATAAAAGGCTGAGGGGGAAGGATGAGTTATGACCACCTTCTGTAAGACGTAAACATCCTCGACTTCATGCCTTCTGCGGTGCGTCAATGAAATATCACAGCAGCCGAGTGCAAGAGAGGCTTATGCTGAGTTTGTGTTGTGAGAAACTGGCAGTGTGTGTATGTAAGATAAGGAAAGTCTGTGCGTTTCTTACCGAGGGGTACTGGTGGGATGACCGGATCGATGGGGGAAGGCTTAGCCTTGACAGGTATCGGAGTAGTCGGCCCGTTCACCATAACATGCCCTGAAAGACGAGCAAACGCAATCACAAACAAATAGTGCAAACTGCTTCAAATCCACCTCTGCTGCTATAATACACTGAGTGGATGGGTCAAGTGGACTGGAGACTCAGCAGCCCACGTTACTTAAAAAGGTTTTGGCTCTTGGCTTGAGTCACTCTCTGGAAGCTCTGTAAAGGGGCTGATGAGAAAAGAGCAGGGAAGCTGAAAAGTACAGCACCATTCAAAAGTTTTGGGTTGGAAAGGTTTACTTGTTTATTTTATAAGCCTCTTATACTCACAGTGGCTGCAGATTTAATCAAGAACTGTAAACTATATTTTAAAATGATATCAGAATGAAACAAACAGTGTGTGTTTGTGTATATGTGTGTGTGTCCTCTTCTATTACTCTAAAAAATACAGACTGGACGGCAGTTACTTGTATGCAATACATATACCTGTATGGTCAGATTTAGGCATGGGACAAAAGCCGTTTTAAGGTTTACCATGGTTTGGAAAAAGTCACATTTTTAATACTTCTGAAATTCTGTTATACTGCTCTCAAGGTATACACTGTATGTACATTATCTTATATATTGTTTTAGTGCATTTTCCAGAGATGGGCTGCAGCTGGAAGGGAATCCGCTACGTAAAAACATGTGCTGGATAAATTGGTGGTTCATTCCACTGTGGCGACCCTGGTTTAATAAAGGGACTAAGCAGACAAGAAAATGAATGAATGAATAAATGTTTTAGTTTATTTCTTATTTGTTGTAAAGAAATCTGTGTTTTTGAAGAGAGCAGAAATCACAGATTTTTTTTTTTATTATTTAGCCTGACATGTTTACTGTTCCAAAATATTATAAATGTTTTTTAAGATAAAATAAAATGTGTTCAATGAGTAAACGATATTTGTTGTTTGTTCGTTTTACCCAGACATTTAAAAACAACTTATTTTAGAGCAGTAATCAGAATACCATGATACAGTGGTATTTTTATCCAAGAATATAATACCGTCAGAAACTTATACAGGCCCAAGCCTAGTCAGATTACATGTAAACTACTTTTCTGTTCTCGTGAAGTCATAACATGTACATTTCTGTCAGATATTATGTTTTTATAAAAATAAATCAATTAAGTCCTTATCGAAATGATTTCAATGCTCAAGCAACCACGGCGAGTGTCTTTACAGGAATAATTTTAAGCATCCTTACACAATAAAAATCTTCAGTTCTTTTAAACGGAAGTGCACAATTTATTTATTTTCCTTTGACTTAGTCTCTGATTTATCACAAGTCGCCAAAGCGGAATGAACCACCAGCTATTCCAGCATATGTACACAGCGGATGCCATTGCAGCCGCAACCTAGTACATGGAAACACCCATACACTTTTGCATTCACACGCCTGTGCACAATTCAATTCCAGACAATTCTCTCTATTAGATAAGTTTATTACTATTAATACTGTAAAACCCAACACTCAACTTTATTAAATGAAATGTTGGGTTGAAGGTAATGAGTTAATTAAATAAAACTTAAATAAAAGTTCACAGTACTCCTATAGATTATTGTTTTAACTCAAATGGTTTGAGTTGCCTTTACTTGTTTTATACTGTTTTACAGTACTCTGTTGGTTTAAGTTCTCTTTATTTATTGGGTTTTACTGAACTTAACCTATTTACTTAAAAAGATGCTATCGGTTTCCTCGAACAGTTTGTGTTACCTTAACTTTTTGGGTTTTACAGTGTATGAAACATTCATAATGAAAGCACTTATTATCTTTAGTAAGATTATTAATGCTGTACAGGTGAAATCAGTGCTCAGGGTATAAACAGTGATAAAAATATCTCAGATATTATCAATGTGTTTAAAAATACAGTTGTATTGCTTTCTATTAATGTAGTTTTTGGAGATCTTGCACAAAATGTACAGCTACTTGATTTGATGTGATATTCTACAGCTAAAACTGGTCATATTCTGAATTCAATGAAATTAATTTAATCAGTCAAGGTATTTGACAAAAGCACTTTATGCATGGTTAGAGCAAAATGCTCTCATTAAAAGTACAAAAGCCTCTGGAAATAAAATGCCTCAGGAGAGAGAAAAAAAATTTAATTTGTCACTAAAAGAAACAAAAAAACACCCAAATAATTGAAAGTTAATCATTCGATGAATATGAAATACATGTCTCAAAAATTAATTCAGCTCATTGAGTCATTTGTGCAAGAAAGGTGTTTACCCAAGTAGTGGAGCAGTTTCTGGGCTCGGTTCTGCACCGGTTTGAGATTGAACAGATCTGAATTCTCGTCGATAAACTGAGTATCCACCGTCCCGTTCAGGAACTGATTATTGCTCAGCACATTCTGCAGGAAGGGGATGTTTGTCTGAGGAGAGAAAAGAGAACAGACCAATATATTTTTAACTGGTTTTGAGGAACTGCTGAGCTGGAGAGAGCCTGGAGTGGGCCACTCTTGAGAGACTGAGGCCAATTTCAAGACAGCAACACACACACACAATCTTAGCTTAGGTGCTAATGGTCCTACACAGCCCAGATGGGTCCATTCTGTAGGCAGTACTAAAATCAATACCATTATCTAAACACTCAATACTCCCTTCCATCACTATCAAACCTGCCTTTGAGTGTGTGCAAATTGGGCTCGGGTCAGTGAGGAAGCTGTGCTCACCGTTACAGCCCTGAAGAAACAGCTCTGTATCCTGAGCTAACATGCTATACTTTTGAAGTCTTCACTTTCCAACATGTTCAATGCTGCAAGCTAAAAGAGCTGACCAAAAAGAAATTTCCAGAATCCATTAGCCTGACTGTCGATACTAGAAGAGTGATAATAATCATTCAGAGAGAGATGAAAGAAAGACAGAGGTTGGGGAGATAGCGATTTGGAAAGGGAGCAGATGTGAGAGACTAACAGAAAATGTGAAGTGTTAATTGAAGCTCTATAGTTTTTAGCACTCGGCATTTGCACCCGTCACCACCTACAAACATACTCATCACACACCGACTCCCTATGGACGGGTTCAGCAGAGATCCGAGAGAAGAAGCGAAGGAGAGATTGAGGACGAGGAAGACTAGAAAGAGAGGTCGAATCCAAATGTTCTCCCAAGAATTGAGAGTTGAAGAGAGTCGGCTGTAATCTGCCAGCACTCTGACCCAGATTCCTCTGACTGCAGGATTCTTCCTCATTTCAAATTCCGGCTCATTCCAAACTTCATCATTATTCTTTTCCAAAATAACCCACTGTAAGCATTTCAAAGCAAGGCACTTTAAATACGCCTTATTTTTAAGAGCAGGACGTTTTTATTTTGAATACGCAAGGCTTTCACTGACAGTAGCTATTTTGACTGTATAAAAGTGTTTGTTGTGGTACTCTACATTTGCATTTGTTTGCATACTATTTATTGTGTTCAAATTGTTAAAAGGCACAATATGCACATTCTTTTCCATTAAAATATACAAAAAAAGGCTAGAGGCTAGAAAAGTGTTATATATTTTGCTGATGTATGTATTTACGTTTTCCTAAATGTTGTTTCAAAGAACGTTCGAATTCAGAAAAATTAGCTATTTTAACTAGTGATGTAGGAGTGTTATGAAGCCATACTCCTTCAATTTCCTGTTTGGTTTTATAGACAATAAGGAAATGCCAAAGATGCTTTAATATGTTGTGCGGTTTATTACAGTGCGTTTACACAGAAAACAGTGAGAGCGTCCAAGGTCGCTCCAGAGCGTCAAAATTCGGTACATTGATCTCGTATTTAAAGTGGTCGTTGCAGCATATTAGTTCCATTCCTGCATAAAACATGCTTTCTAGTGTGAAAATGTTGCACACGTTTCAAATTTATTTAACAATGGAAGATCAAGTTGCATGTGGTGTGGATTTGCTCCACTTAATTATCAAATTTGTCCATATGTCTGAAATATCCTGAAGCAGCAATACGTTTTGTACTGTCGCATGAGATTCCTGCATTTTTAAAGATAAATATATATAACATTAATGCACATCAGTAACTCGCCAGTAACTTATTTAATATATGCTCCTGTGAGAAAACATTGTAAATAATTGTAAATATTTAAAATGTATATAATATATATATATAAAATATGTCTTTGTTTATTCTGAATAAACACACTAGCTTAGACATACAACAGATTTACTATTTAATATATTACAATTGGGCACAATCTCAATTCTACTCCTCAGGCCTTATCCTTCCCCCAATTACTTATTAGCTTGAAGGCATAGGGCTAAGTGGAAGGGTTAGACATCTCTTGAAACAAAGATTTTTCAGGACCACACTCGAAACCAAGGGGTAAGAAAATTTCCCAGAATACACCAGCCACAATAGCAGCATGGCTGCACAAGGAAGCACAGAGATGCACAAATTAGTATTTTTTGTCATTATTACGTATGTTTACAACAAACAAGCACATGCTTTAATACATTCATAACGTCATTTGAGTTTTATCGTCATGCTTAATAAAAAAAAGAAGAAGAAAAAAGAAAAAACGCTAAAATAAAAACTCTATAATCTATAACTCCTAAATAGCAGTCCCAAAACATTCTGACACTTGATGACACTGGAATACCCTGTCAGAAAAGTCTAGTGGCTGGGAATGACCTTTTTACAGTGTCTGCTATAATGTTAATTTGTTTTCGTGTGTTTATATAGATGAATAATGCCACATAATATGGTTATGATACCATGATATCAGTGCCTTCAGTGATTTCCTAAAGATGATTACCGAATAAATAACACAACTGAAATAACTACAGCAGTCGCGGTTGTGGATCTCATATGACGCAAGAGCTGGCGATCATATATGATGATGCGTGCAGGTGCTGTAGTGGAGTCCTATTTCTTGAGGTATATTTTGGAGCCGTTCCTGTTCACACTCATTTTCTAGGGCCAAGGGGATAGGGAAGAGGTAGAGGTACAAAAATAGAATTGGGATTGGGCCTTGACTGTTATTCACCTACTGAATTAATCATTAGCTAAATAAATTAGGCACATCTACGTAGTGTCGGGCAATAAAACGTTACTAGTAATATGTTAATGTAATGGCATTATTTTTGACAGTAACTAATACTGTAATGCGTTTCTTTTCATATGCATTAACTCCGTTATCATTACAATTTAAGTTAATTAATTTGTCTGCAGTCTAGCCCACAGCTTCCTGTTTAAAGCGGTGAAGCATTGTGGGATTGATGGATGCCAAACAACCACTGTAAAGAAGACACGTCGTGTGTAAGGTATAAGGCCACGACACTATACCAGCTGAAGTATTACAATACCAAATAGTATTGCAATATTGTATTAATTAATGTCTCAAATCCACAAATTAAATTCAAAATTCAATTCAGAATTCTCTTTTTATTGAAAATGTATTATTTGTACAGACTTTTTTGTTTTTTTTTTGTATATACTGTGACTCTTTTTTTGTTATTGCAATATTTAAAATAATAAACAAATAAATAAATCATTGAGCACACCATATAATCTGTCATGACAGCTGCAAACTATGACCAGTATGCAGACAGTTCAAATAAAAGTCAAATAAAGTGGCCTATTGATTATTTTCTGCCTGCCAACCAAATAACATGACTTTCAATAACATGATTCTACAACCTCATCCTGTCCATGTTCAAGGCAAAATAACCCCAGTAGACTGAAGAGCATGCACAAGCATACACACAAATCCAGACTAATGAAATGTCTTTTACAGCTTTGTTTGGACACTGTTGTCTAGCTCTAAACCACAGGCTGTAGCTGAAAACAATTCTTTGCCCACAAGCTCTCTACAACGACCGGCTGCATTTGCCGAATGCAGCAAATAATAGGAAGCAGGGGAAGAAAACATTAGTGTTTAAACATTTAAGCACTGATAGGCTGTGGATGTCTTCAAGGCTACCTGTCCGGATATTCACACTAAGAAATGAGGAGAAGCCACATTGAAGAAAGCAGGGTTAAATGAGCAGTTACAGTGCCAACCATCCAGCCACGGGACCTGAATAAAAAGACAGATGGAAGTACAGATGGCGATATCACAACGTAGTCTCACAGAATTAACCAATTTGACTAGCTCAGACTTCAGAGCTGTCCATGGTGCTGAAATATCTCAAGTCCTCTGTGCTTTACTCCGTTTCCCAACCTTCTGTCTCTCCGCAACCTCATTAGAAAGGCTCAAATGCGCCTTAAACAACATCAAAACACAAATTACTGTTTCTTTTTTTATTTTCTCTTTATATCTGATTAATACTACAAAAGCTATCATTATTATAATGAGGTCTTCCACAAGTTTTGACAATTCTGAGGGCAACCAACTGAGAAAAACCTAGCAGCAAATTTATTCATAAACAAAATCCACATGGGGCTCTTTACTAACTTCAAGGCAGTTGTATTATTGTAATCTTTTTAAATCTCAATCCATGAGCAAAATACCACCTCGTTTGCTCACCTGCAAACGAAAAGGACGCAAACACAAATAAATCTGTGAAAAAAAAACAGACTGAGCAAAAAAAATGTATTATGAATTTATTTATGATAAATGAATTAGAAATTAAAATAATTGTGTGCGTGTATATATTGTATGCATTTGTTTTGATGCACATTTCAATATATGGAGTATACAGTGCTTCAGTAAAATTGACTTGCGGTGGTAGCCAAATGAAACACACCATTTACCCAAATCACATAAATAGTTAACTTTATGCAACAAACAATACATCATTTTTATCAATAACTTTATTTAATATACGCTGTTTCTTTTCAATGGGTTAAAGTAAAAAAAAAAAAAAAGCATCAAAAATTTATCTTAGTCTTATGCTAATCAGGAGCCATTTGCACGCAGTGACATCTGCTTCTCACTTTCTTTCCAGTTCAAAGCAAACTTGCATGCCAAAGAATTGTAAATTCTTATTAATATATATTATTAAGAATATTATTCTTAATAATATGTATATTAAATAGCACTATGCAATATATTACCATCAATTGATAAATACATTTAAAAAACGGCAAACGAGAAATAAATCTCTAAAAATGATCATGAATACAGAATTAAAATGTGTCGATTATTAAAATAAAGCAAATGCATTGCTTCATCATTACAAATGGTGTACATATATTTTGCAGCCAGTTTAGAACAGTTTTGTCATCCTCTCTGAGTATATAGCAAAGTTTTTCTGAGTTGTTTAGATTAAAAACGGAATTATATTGGCTGCGTCTGAAACCGCCTCCTACTCAGTAGGTATGAATTTGAATTTTAAAGTACAACTATTCGATGAAAAGTACGTTCTATGCTGTTTGAAAGAGTAGTATGAATGGAATTCGGACCTACTACATCCAAAAAAAATTTCATGATCACGTGACC